ACTTGAAATGCTCCCAAAAATGGCTCCACAGCATGTAAACATATAATATAAGCTCTGGCGGACTTGGTTCTATGGTAGTGGAGTTCCTGTCCTGTTTGGTGCCCTTCCTGTTTTGGCCTTTAGGTGGCGCCGGGTCTGCACTCGCTGGCTAAAATCTGCTCTGTATTGTTTGGGTTAAGAGCAGCCTGATTACATTTATGAAAATGTGTTTTATTTATATTATTGTCCTTTCAATGATAGAAATCCTTTTGTATTTATGATGTAAACATGTTTATTAATATTAATGTTTAGTGAGTTTGATCCACAGTGAGCTGAAAGCAGCCGCGGTTATTCATAAACTGCTCGTTTTAATAGATGAGGATGGAGCATTTATAGAGCTGCTCTAAATGGACGCCTGGTTCTGGTTTCCCTCCGCTGGAGTCTATTTTTACTTTTCCAAGAACAGGCGGGCTTTAGTATCGCTCGGGAACTTAATGTGTTCCAGATTTTCTCTGCGTGTGGGAACAGCCGTGTTTATCTGCGGGAGGACGTCCTCTGCTCTTCGCTTCTGTTTGTGTGACGCTCAAAGTTGATCAGCGGTCGTCTCTCAAAGCTCCCGGCTCCCCCACAAAGGCCACATTATTGCATGATCGTAGCCGGCTACAACAGAGACGGCTACAACAGAGACGGCTACAACAGAGACGGCTACAACAGAGACGGCTACAACAGAGACGGCTGCTGCCTGCGTTTTTCTGTGTTCAGTATCGGAGGCACAAAGTCGAAGCCACGAGTTCATGAATCCATCACTGAGTCTCAAATCAGGAGCTCATGAAGAGAAACATTCAAGTCGTTCATTCTCTGCCTCAGTTTATTATTATTATTATTGTTATTATTGCTGCTCTGAGCCTCGATGTGCTCGGACGTCAGCTCTGATTTAATCTGAGTTTATGGGAAAAGGAGGAGGAGCGCTGCCTCCAGGATACAATCATCTTTATTGAGCTGACTCTCTTTGTTAGTTTAACTGCAGTTTTACAGCCTGTTTCTTCTCCAACAGTCTCAGGCCCTCGGCAGGAGTCTGAAAGCTCGACTCTGATTGGACGATCTGAAGCAGGCACAGCAGAGGTCAAGGCTCCAGGTACGCTCTTGGAAATGAAACATTTTTGACTCTTCAGGTAACTCACGTCTCAGACTGTAGAACCACAGCGAGCCAATCAGTGCGTTGGTCATAACGAACAGGAAGTGGTCATCGATGGTGTCAATAATCAGACTCCACCTCAGGGTGATTGATTTGAGACTTTTCCACTTACAGTCGAGACCCAGAACTCAGCTTTTTATCAGATCTGTTTGTAGTAACTCTTACAAGTACTGCCCCTCAGCAGGCTTCCTAAAAACGACCAATCAGACAAAGAGAGATGAGCTAAACAGCTTGTTTCAAACACAGGATGCACTGATGATGCATGGACCTGAGAAAGAAGGATTACTCTGGACTGTGAATCATGCAAAGCTACGTCAGTCACACGAGTCACTTCTTCCTATGACAGATTTAAAAACAACAGGAAATGACCCAAATGAGTCTCCAGTCATAAATCATTGAAAATCACACAAAGATACACAGAAATATAAACATATTATTAAAAGCAAAGTAAAATGAATAAATATGTGTAAAGAAGAGATCAGGTAGAGGGAATAATAATAATATATACTCATTATATATCAGGGTGGAGGAGGGGGTCCTGCAGTGAGGATGACCTCAGAAACCTGGAGGAAGGATAAGCTGAGAAAACGCAGCTAGAGGAGCTGCCTCCAGCTGCAGGAGGTGCTGCTGCAGGAGGTGCTGCTGCGGTCACACCGGGGAAAACTGGTTACGGCGACCTCTGGCTGACCTGCTGGTCTCTGTTTGCGGTGGTTTTCGTGTTTGCTCAGAATAAATTGGTTGGCTCTTGAGCTTCACCTTCACTCTCTGCGTTAACGCCGCGCTCTGACTCATTACTGCTCTAACAAAGTGAGGAAGCGCCGCGCTTACATTGACAAAAGGTCAAGTTCCCTCCTCTCCCCTGGAGAAGAGGGCGTGGGTGCGCCAGTACCAAGGTCACCCCCCACCCCACCCCCTACTCCCACATTCGCAACATATAAACAAAGAGTGAGTCATCTGGGAACCACGGACACACTGTTCAGAGGTCAAAGGTCACACTGGCCTGATGAGAAGATTCAAGTTAGAGTGAGCTGATGGAGAAGAGTGCAAGTCAAGTGACTTTATCATCATTGCAACCATGTGCACAGTGAAGGAGAAAACAGTGCAACACCAGACAGTAGAAAAGTGCAACAATGACAGCTGGCTGTGCAGAAAGACCGAGCATTGTGCAGGACAGGTGGGCAGAGGTGGCTGCAGTGACCTAAGACCATCACAAACAGATGCCAAAGAATATCAAATACACCCTAAATGACTACAGTGGGATGCAAAATAAGTACTAAGACATGTAGAGTGACCATGAACTGATGGAATAAGACCACAAGCACGCATGACAAGTAAAAATTCGACTACCAAGGTGTGCAAAAATGACCAAAATTAAACAAAAAACCCCACAAAAGGATGCAAAATAAGTACTGAATGATGCAGAACAACCAAAAGCAATGACTACAAAGGGATAACAACATGAGTGTATAAAAGGGCAAATTTACCGCAGAGAAATGCTTGATGATAAATATTTTTAAAGACGATCAAAATAATCAAAGGGCTGAATGTGAAATTACCACAAAAGAATGAACAACATCTAATGGACACTGAATGACTAGAGGGATGCAAAATAAGTACAAAGAGACGTTAAAGGGAGTTTAAGAGCGCGCAACAGCAGAACGAACATCGATGGACCAAGGAGCGCACGTTTTGGGTTGTTCTGCTGCAGCAGGTTGATTCTCTTTGTTCTGCTTTTGATTCAACAGGAAGTAACAACAACAGCTTTCTCAGCTTCGGTGCAGCACTGTGAAATTTCATTACTGCAGGATACATGCAGAGTACATGAAGTATTTATAGCGTGTGCGGCACTGAGAACCCTGAGAATCAAAACAGTCGATGTTGTTGGAAAAACACGGGACTGAAATAGACCTTTGGCCTTTACGGGCTCGATTTAACAAAGAAAGACAAACAAAGAGGCCGTTCCTCACACACCTCCAGTCCGCTCCCACCGCGCCTACGACTGAACCCACTTCCTGCGAGCTGGGGTCGATGTAATTAAATCACTAACACGATGGGACACAATAACAGGAACACCTTCAAATACAACAAGCGTGAGTCATCCACTCATAAACTTGCAAACACTGCATCACATGAAATTCTTTGTGCTGTAGTAGCCTCTGCAGTGGACGCTAATGCACGTGAGCTTTTTAAAGAGAGAAGAGACTTTAAAACAACAAATTGAGCCATGAATCCCTGAATCACCTCTCAGTGGTCTTAAAAATGATAAATGAGACGAGATTACAGTTTTGTTTTAGAGCAGCAGCTATTGGTTAAATGATCAGTTATCAGTTTCTTCAGCTACAAACATCGAAAATATTAAATTCAGAGAAAAGAGAAGCATCAAATGTTCACACTTAAGAAGCTAAAACAAACAAATCTTTGGGGGTTTTTCTTAAAAGTGACCAAAATAACTATTCAACCGTCCAAAGACTCACAATCGCTTACTGTACTTATGCTTTAGTTTCTTTAGTCCACTGCAGATCATATGGAAGCAGACACATGAGTGCTCCCAGTAGGATAACGTTTGCAGCCAACCTGAGGTGAAGTATCGCTGAGGAAGATAAATCTAAAGTTTCAGACTTTCCTGGTTAGATGCATGAATGAGGTGATGCAGGCAGAGAGTTCAAGAAATTGAAGGAGAAACTCTCCTGAATCGAGTTCATTCAGGATGACAGCAGTCCAAAAATATGCAACCAGAGGGATGCAAAATGGGCACAAATCATACAAAAGAGGCACAGATCCTCAACTACATCAAGGGGATGTGAAATGATTACAGAGGGATGCTGGGGGGGATCCTGGGGGTGGGATGGAGGCAGACCTGCTGCACCTGAAAGAAATGCAAGACCAGGCTCTACAGAGGAATAACGATGATAACGAGACACAACATAATGAAGTGAAGTAAAAGCGACCACTGTGGGATACCGAATCGCTCCAGATGGATGCAAAGGGAGCACACAGGAAGGCTGATCTACAAACTGTTGTGGTTTCAGACAAACAGCCACAAAGGGATGCAAAATGACTGCAGCAGGATGTGAAAGGAGAATAAAATGACAA